CATTTTCACACGTTCCCTCCATCTCCAGCCTGGGACCCAGTGATATTTTAAGAAGCCTCATGGATGGTGAGGACAGCAAGATCCTTGAGGTTCTTAATGTCAGTGATTGGAGAACCAGCCTTGCAGAAGGGAGGTGAGCTTCTGGGAGGATGGAGCTGGGCTCTCAGGTCTGCTGCAGCAGGTGGCATGCTCCTCCGGGATGGTGAGCCGGCATTGACCTCTGTGGAGCCCTGACCCCATCAGCTGGAATTACCTTCCTGACATTGCACTGACATGCGTGCCATTCCCATCCTTAGTCTGTCAGCCACATGGCAGGGCCTCAATACGTATTTGGAGAAAAGATGAATGGATATCTACCACTTGCCCAAAGGGGTTTGAAGGATATGGGAGAAGAATTCAGTAGGGTCTGCCTCTTTGGGAATGTGTGTTCCAGTTGGAGAGAGCGAACAGGGCAATATTAGTAAGTCTGTATGCAATTAAGTATGAAGTTGACTGGTCCAGACTATATGTGTAGCTGGAATACAGAGGTGGCCGAAGTCCATGTGGCTGGAGGGGCAGAAAGGGCTTCACGGGCTGGACTGACAGTGAGCATTGGGGAGGTGGTAGGAGGGGCTTGGGCTCTCTGTGTGATCAAACGACACTAGAATGGACTCCTGTATTTTGGCTGAGAGATCCTATTAGAACGTCTCTTTGGTGGGGAGGAGATGGTACCTAGCAGCTCTGCTTGTAATCTTGCAGCCCCACACCCTGCAGGAGCTCGGATGTGGCTTCACGCTGACCCCTGCGGTCCTCCTCACTGCAGGGCCTGACCACAACCCCTTGGCTCCTTCTGGAGGGAGACATTTGGCCAAAACAAACAGTGAAATCTTTGAAGGTGCTGTGTTCATTTCCCTAGCTGCTGTAACAGAGTGCCACAACTGGGTGGCACTGATTTTTTCACAATTTTGGAGGCCAGAAGCCCAAAATCAAGGTGCTGGCAGGTCTGTGCTCCCTGTGAAGCCTCGAAGGAGAACCTGTTCCATGCCTTCCTCTTAGCTTCTGGTGTTGCCAGCAATCCTTGGCATTCCTTGGCTTGCTCAAACATTACCATTCCTGGACCTGTAGGTGCCTCACTCCAAATGCTTCCTTGATCTTCACATACATTCTCACTCTGTGTCTGTGTCTCTTCTCTTCTTCTTATAAGGACACCAGACACTGGATTGGGGGCCCACCCTAATCCACTGTGACCTCATCTTGGTTACATCTGCAAAGAGCTTATTTCTGAGTCAGGTCACGTTCACGGGTACCAAGGATGAGGACCTAGCTCTTTGGGTGACACAATTCAACCCATGATAGCTGCTGAGAGATTTTGGTCTGTTGGCCTCCCAATCTCCTTTACCTATTAAGTCTGTGTCCCCTCCTGGCCCCCGGACAGGTCTCTGGAGGTCCGGGGTGTGGGCAGAGACCATCTCTCATTGACCTTCATTCATTTGCTAGTTCACAGAGCAGGGCAGGCTCCGGTCTGGCCATTCAAGACCAAGTGTCATTCTGCAGGGTCTGGGGGCTTGGTTGGAAATGCTGCTTTTCCCTGTTTTGGGGACTGGGTGGTGAGGAGATAGAGGGTATGATTTACGGGCAGGAGGGAGGGCGGAGACACTGCAGCTTTCCTTCTCTTTTCCTGTGGAGGACAAGATACTTTTATAGAGGAGCAGGATGTGGGTGGAGGACCTGCCGGAAGGGGTGGCCCTTATTGTTGGGGCTCTGGGCTGGAGTCTTGGCTCCGCTGCTCAGAAGCTCTGGGGTCTTGGGCAAGTTATTCAGCTTCTCTTAGGCTCAGCTTCCTCCTCTGTGAAGGAGGATGGTGATAACAACTGCTTGGCAGATCTTGGCAAAGTTTCTGTGAGGATTACGTGATAAAAGGTGGATGTGAAAGGACCTCTTCTTTTTTTTTTTTTTTTTTTAACATCTTTATTGGGGTATAATTGCTTTACAATGGTGTGTTAGTTTCTGCTTTATAACAGAGTGAGTCAGTTATACATATATATATGTTCCCATATCTCTTCCCTCTTTGTCTCGAAAGGACCTCTTCTTAAGTCACGTTTTTATCGTGGTCAATTACACACAACATAAAATTGACCGATTTCACCATATTTAAATGTACAGCTCAGTGGCGTTAAGTGCACTCCCATTGTTGTGCAGCCACCACCACCATCCGTCTCCAGAACTTCTTCATCTTCCGTGACTGTGAAAATACTTTTTATTCATTGGATAAATAAGGCAAATGAGTCCCCAAGAAGCAAGGACTCATCTGAGGTCTGGCAGCAAGATGGGGCGGAGCTGAAGTGAGACCTCGCCCGCAGCTCTCAGCTGGGAGGTCACCTTCCATCTCCAGCACCTCGCTGCCTCTGCGGGCTGCAGGGATCCAGGGACACTCAAGGTCTCTTTGTGGTCAAATCACGCTGGAGAGCTTCCTCGTTCTCCTAAACCCCCTCTCCCGGGACTGTGGGGCCTCCAGGCAAACCAGGTGGGACCCAAGGAGCCGCCTCTGTGTTGAGAGTGTTCCTCTTAGGCTGTCCTGGTCTCTCTCAGCTTCTTGTCTTTCTCTCTATCTGCTCCTTCCTGATATGGACAGAGTTCCAGTGGAGAAGCAGGGGAGCTGAATTCGGGGTGACCTTTGGGATGGCTTTGTGAGGTACCTCACGGTATGGACAGAGCTTGGGCAGGGAGGCAGATGGCCTGGGTTCTGGTCCTTCCTGTGGCTACTGTAAGTGTTCTCACTGAGCCCGTATTGTCGAGGTCCTACTATGTGCCCATCACTGGGAAAACATGAGTGAACAAGACCTTGGTACTTGCTGCCTGCAGCTGCTGTGAGACACTCGGGACATGATGGTGAGGACCTTGTGGCAAAGGGCACTCGCCTATAGGAAGCCCCGGTGGGTGGGGAGGTGGGCGGTGGCCTGGGCTGATGGACGGTAACAGCCTGGGACCAGGGTGCTAGGGCAGGAAGAAGAAGGAACGGGAATTGCTGTGCAGGTTGGACTTGGGTGCCCTGGGCTCCCTGTGACCTCTGCATCCAGGTGCTGGGGCTGGAGACAGACCGCGTCAGACAGCAGCTGCCTTTAGGCAGCTCATGGTCGAGTGGGGAGCACAGAGCTGTGTGCAGGTGGTTACAAAGCAGCTTTACCTGCACTGACAGAGAGGAACGGGTGATGACAGGTTACATCACCAGGGGAAGAAAAGGCTGATTCTGCCTTGCAGGATGGGGAAGCTGGTGGAGGGATGGCAGGGGAGGCTTTGCTCTGATTTGATGCAGAAGAGATGGGTCAGGAATGGC